TTCTTAAATATTGTGAAGTTTAGTTTAGACTTACCGTTTGGGTTAGACTTGTGTAGTTCCTATTGATTTTCTTTTTCTCCTCCACACCTTCTGTCTTGTGAGATATATTTTAAGGTGAAAGGTTGTTATGAAGGCAAATCATACACATTTCTAAATAATTTTCTGTGACACTGGAAACTCACTTCCACCATGACAGCCTGCTGATCCAAGAGAGTTTTTTTTAACTGCCATTAAAAGGTGCTTGAAAGCTATTGTAGAAGAACCAGTTAACCTCTTATTATAGACAAAGTGGCCTGTCCAACAGCTTTTCGGATTGAGAAATTTTCGTTCCCACTATAAATCTCATCCAGGCCGAGCATTGAGCACAGAATAAGGCCCAGCACTGGAAATGGCGGTGCTATCCGAAGGAATAATTTTGCAAAACCTTTACTCCTAAAATGTTAGAAACATGGTGTTAAGAATAAATAGGACAAAGGAAAATAAATGTGAACGATAACATGGATCATGGTCAATCTCCCTTGCGGGAGGCTTACTTCCAAGCCTCTTTAGCAGAAATTATGTCTTTTGAGTGGACAAGTTGTCAGAGTTTCGGTACAGTCCTACCATTTAGATCTGTGATAGATGGTAATCAATCACGTCAATATATAGGCTAAAGAGGGCTGAGGAAAGCAGGCAGCCTTGCTTTAACCCAATGGTGTTGGTGATTGAGCAAGGATAATGTTGTATAGTGCCTAGATTATATCTCGGGTGTCCCCCGATAAGCTTTGTCTTGGGACTGTATCCAAGGCTTTCTTGAAGTTTACGAAGCAATATATCTGCTTGTGTGTGTGTGGTGCATAGCAAGTGATCCGCGCAATTGTATTATCGCCAGAAACCCGTCACACATTTCCCTTTCATTCTCTTGCCCTTCTTTTCAGGAGCCATGCTCGCAATTTAAGAGAGAAGACAAAAAGCAAAAAACAAGAATCAAGAAATGAACTCAACATAAGACGCACCAATGGATGTGACATGTGATCTTATCATATGAGAATTCTTGCTTTCCGGGCCGGGCTGTGTCCAGGAGTTCTCGTGGATGCCCTGATGGATCTGTTGGAGGTGATCAAGCTCTCGTGGGAGATGGTCAATCCTCTGAAAGCCAGGCCAGTTTCGAGGAGGCCTGCTGCTGCTCATGGCAACAAGGACTACGGCTACTACTACTGCTACAGTTGTTGACAGAATGACTCTCAGTGTGTTACGAAAAGGCTCTGCAGAGATTGGAAATGGGTGTGTCTCCCAAGCGTTGGAGCTCGAATCGCCCACGTCCGCCCGCACAACAAATCTCGTGTCCAACTTCTGAGCAAGACTACCATCTTTCAGATGTAGATTGATCTCTTTATTCAAGCCAGAACGAGGCCGGGGTTGGTGCGAGCATGCCAAGCGTATGCATTCTCTAGACAAAGCGATTGGCCGTACCGATCTCTCAAACGAGATCCAGAACAAGATCAGCAGCCGGATGTGGGAGGAGGTGGCCGGTTTACAGGCTGCAGCCACAAGGATGCTTGAGCTGCACCACAACCACCGTCTTGTTGTCTTCGACACTCATGGCTTGCATGCTATCACAGAAGAAGGCAAGTTGCATGGCCTGCCCAACACTAGATTCTTTCTCTACCAGCCAGTCGTGGATGCTGGGACAAATGCTCTCAACGCACTCCCGCGGCACACCATCTGATGCCAGCACCAGAAACTCACAGCCCCCATCACGGCGGAGATCAATTTCCACAACGTCGGGAAGAGCCACTACCGCCTGCTCATCACGTCCCAAACCAGCGTTGCTCTTCCATCTAAAGTCTCCCAGAGATCGCGTCACCTGGAGCCCCATGGCGCCAACCTCGCCCCCAACGCTCACGCCATTCAGCTGGATCCACTTGTTCTTCATGACGACCGCACCAGCTCTAGTCGCACGCTCGGCATCGTCCGGCCGCGACTGGACGTTATGATCGATCGTCACTGGCACCGCCTGGTTGTCCCGCCAGATGATGCAATAGCTATCGCCGGCGTGAGCGATAACGAGCTTGTCATCGCGGACCAAGACGGCCACTGCGGTCGTCCCGTGAGAGCCAGGCGACGTTCCCGTGATACTGTTCCAGGAGTACAAAGGCGATGTGTTTTCGCGCTCCAGCCTCTCCAGCTCCTCGGTTCCTGCCTTGGATTGCATCATTTCGTCCATCTTGAGGAAAACCTCGCGGAATCCAGAAGCAAAGTCGCCCTTTTTGTAGTGTGAACTGGCGACGAGGTGCCTGTGGAGATTCCGCGCGCAGAAGCGCGCCGCAGCGCAGCCGCCGTGGCCGTCAAAGACCGCAATGAAGGAGCTCTTGGCGTCCAGGTCGGGGATCACAGTGTAGACATCTTCCATCCTACGCTTGGCACCTTGAGTCGCTGCGGCACCCACCCTGATCCTGGAATTCTCCACCACCGCCTTGTGGACTCGATCTGGCTTCCAATTCCTGAACATGCCAAGCGGATCATCATCGCGGGCAAGCCCAGCGCTTGCTCTCTTCATGTCCTAAAACCCTAATGTCGGAATTTGGGAAAAGGGAAAGAGAGGGGATCTTGTGGCATATTCTACCCCTCCAACAAATCAGGAGCTAAAGAAATAATAAAAGTGATTTGGATAATGTACCGTATAAACAATAGAACCAAGGGAATATACATAGGGCATACTTATATATACCAATGCTTGAAAACATGCTAACCTTGAGAGAATGCACGCCTGCAAGCATTATTGGCGATCGCCAGGTTCCCTCTTCGTGCCTCGCGCATAAACGCTACCTCGAAGTGCCTCCTTGCAAGCTTTCCTCGGCGATCCTGTCCCCGTAGTGGCAAAACAAGCTCAAGGAGCTCCAAATCCCGTACGACTGCGTCCTCCAGCTCCACTGCCCCGATTCTTCCCCCGGGGAGGATCTCCTGGGTCACAGGCGTGCACATTCCAAAGTCTACAAGCCAGACCTTGTCGCCTGAGAGGTAGAGCTCGATGTCGCGAAACCTCACCCCGAGCGTGAATGCCATGTGTGCCATGACGGTTCCCAGCGCCGCAGCTACCTTGCGCCTGTCGAGCTCCGGGAAGACGCGTTCTGCAACCACACAAGAAACAATGGGCTTCATTAGTAGCGTGGCATTGTGGATTTTAAACGCAGGATCTTCGTCGAGGCTGTAGATCCAGCCGCGGTCCTTGATCTCCTCGGGAGATAGGGCATTTTGCCCCTCCAACATCCCGTCTACCAGCGCGGTGAGCTGCTCCTGCTGGATAGCCGGCATCTTCTCCATGACCATGCACGGTTTGTTGTGGAGCTCGCCCTGACACCTGAAAACCAAAGCGTGAATGTCCTCGTTCATGTGTGCAGTGCGCTCAAGAAGCGCCCTCCCACTGGGTGCAAAGGCAAACACTTTGGGGACACGCAAACAGGCCACGTCTGGGTAGTCACGACTTAACCTCTCGATTGCGTCCCTATACAAACCCATGGCGTGCACCTCCGCCTTGAGGTTCGCGTACGAGGTATTGTCTCCTATCAACCGCTTGATGGCGTACTCCCCACCAAAGATCAATCGCCCATTGTTTCCGCCATCGCGCCCCGCCATCCACGCCATCGCGACGCCAATCGAGCCGAGCGGAGGTGCCCTAGGGTAGCAAGCCGAGCGCTCAAGAAAAGAAGAAGAGAGCCTAGCAACGTGAGCGAGAGAGAGAGAGAGAGAGAGGAGGGTATATATATAGTAGAGAGATGGTCTCATTGTGCCACGTGGCAGGAGTACCGTTGGCCGTTGTTCTTTTGCTTGCCGATGTGGCGGATGCCTGCCAGGTGGGAAGCTGCGATTCGGTACTAGCGGGAGAAAGAGGAGGGCCTACATTGTGCCACGTGGCAGGAGTACCGTTGGTCGTTTTCTTTTGTGTAGAGCACGTTTAGGTTAAAGGGAGCTTGCCGATGTGGCAGATACGTTTAGGTTAACAGGGGCTTGCCGATGTGGCAGGTGTTTTGCCAGGTGGGACGCTGCGATTCGCTATTTGGGGCAGCACACCTTTAGCTTAATTTCTGCCTTTAGACATCACCTAGCCCTAACTGGACTATAAGCGAGACTTCCATTCTTTCTTTCGGGCGTTTACTTCTTCACGCTTTTCAACGCCATCCAGCAACTTTTGGGTCGATCTGACAGTTGAAATCCGCAGATATGGCCCGACAAAACGTGTTGCTGTCTGATCATACTGGCTTTGAATTTGTCTTTGTTCTTAATCTTCTTAGCATGATCTAGGGGAGTTTCTGGCCCGTGGAGGAAAAACCCGTAGGCTACAGGCTTTCACGCAAAATTTAGAGAAAACAAAGCAAGAATCTTACATAATCCGGACTTGCGGACACTCATGTTGATTTGGAAAACGAGCAATGGCACCACGTTGAGCTGTTCTTCTTCTGTGAGTTTCGAGATTGGACGTAGTATTTCAAGCGACTTTCGTAACTTCAGCTCGTTTCGCTATCGCAAACTCTGAAAGGTATATAAATCTAAATATATGTCGAAGAAGAGTGCTCTTTACATCTCCGAGAAGTGCATCGTTTATTTGTGGCTCCACATACCAGACATCGCAAACGACTACCCAGGACAACATCAGCTTCAGCTAAACGAAAAAAAAAACTGAAAGTCAATCGTGATGAAAAGTATAAACTTAGTGTGGACAATTATCTTGTTTTACTTTGCAGACAGTGAAATCCAGTTCGAATACAATCTGCAAAATCGAGCGCAAGGAAATAAGAACTGCCTGGAGAAACTACGAAATCAAGAACCTGCTTGAACATCACATTGTCCGCCTTGTTCAGGCAAGTCCCCTCTGCAAAAATGAGCAAAATAGTGCTTTCCGGATCGCTTCCGTCCCTTCTGAAGCTTGGTTTTACTTTCCAGCTTGCTTTTCGTCTCAACTCCATTGCTACGCACAGCAATCCCCTGCGGATGATCGATCGCAGCCTTCCACTGCTTTTCTGGAAACTATCACAACTTAAAAGCGGTGTTACGCCACAGACTTTCACCTGAAGAAGACGGTTTCTTCCTCGCAGCGTACTAACCACGCTCCACTGCTTCCCCTGCTTCCTGAAAACGAGTACAGTGGGACTTGGGAAAATAACGAGAGAAAGGAGCTCCGGCAACGAGTTCCGTTACATGCCTTGTGACTGCCAGGCTCTCATAAACAACAGTTGAGCTACCGTGAGACACACATACCTGTGGTTGCTTTCATTATAGTAGCCCGATGCACATCTTTACCAGAGTATCCTGTCCAAAAAAGAAGGACAAGGAGATGAACAAAGTCGCTCAGACTCTGAGAATGCCAGCGAGAATGCGGCCATCGTTCCCCGTAGCGTTTTCATGCTATCCCGCCTGCAAAGCCGCCCCCATCCTTGAGAATCCCCCGGACCCGGACAGCAGCTTCCTGCCCAGCGAAAGAAAATGTTTGACGAATACCTGACGCTCTGCCAGCAGCTGGTCCTGCAAATCCTCCTCCACACGGAGCCGCGCCAGCGTGCGTGCGCAAGTCGTGAAGAAGTTACTGCACAGACCACAAACTGTCCTGCGCGACTCGCTCGGACCGCTCGACTCCTGTATCCAGGTCAAGCCGTGCTCGTTAGTAAGCTCGCTACTCGCTTGAGATGTGTATCGCTAACACCGCCCCGTGGACATCGTTGAGGGAATTGAGCTGGGGCGAAACTTCTGGCAGCAGATGACACGAGCAGGACATCGTAAGAGAAGCAAGCCGATCATCACCTGAATGCTCTTACCATGTAGGCTGTAGAATCGGAGGTGACGTTCGTGCCAGAGGAGACTCAAACATGATCAAACCATCAGAGCAAGTTCCCCCAAACTTCTCCAAATCAAGTCACCTGAAAGGCGCAGCGGCCCGAGTTTGGGATCCGGTAACATGCTACATTTGCCAACACCTGGAATCTTCATGATGGAAACGCGATAGCCATCGATTTACCGTGACAGCCAGCCTGGAGCCGAGAAGCATGAATCCCTGGAGGGACAAGTAGAGGCGGTGCTGCAGCTCCCGGACCGATCGCTTGCTGCTGCTGCTGCTGCTGCTGTCGCCGCCAGCACGATTAGGCATCTGGAGACGAAGATCTCCAGAGACCAGGGAAGAAGTGGCATATTGTTTTGCAGCCGCCCAAATGCGAACACCAAGCAAGAATGTATGCTCGCTAACCTCGTCATTGATGCTTCTACACGTCTCAGCTATGGGGCTCTCACGAGCTTGTCATGTGATTACGAAAAGCTTTTGGCGTTGACTTACAAGCAGAAAACACAATCGTTCTCGTCATGCTATAAATGTATAATCACCTATTTTATAGAGGATCATATTATTTGCACAAGATAGTACTGCCCTTCAAGTTATCAATTTCAGAACTGAACAAACAAAAGCGATAAGAAGCAACATTCCAGACTGGCAACAACATCAATGATACTTCAGGGAGAATCAACTCACTCTGTCTCATTTTTACCTGTTGAGGTTGCATTTCCTGCAAGATCATCATAGGGTTATCACTTTGTTCATTGTGCCCATTGTCTTAGTGGCTCCTTTCATAGCACCAGCAACAGAAAGGTATTGACATACATCGCCTAAACAACAACACTGGGCTAGAAAAACTTCCTACAAGTTCAATAGGAAAAAGGGAGCCAAAGAAAAATCTCTGTCACTTGAGCTCGACTGCCCTGGAACTTTTGAATGTGCCGCCACAATCTGATCAAATGCTGTCCGAAGTTCGTCGTTGCGCTGAAAGTCGATTCCTGAAAAACAAAAAACAATTTTTCTGAGCACTGCCTTCTTTCGTGGACATGAGATCGCTTCCACGTGTCGTTCGTGTCGACTTTCTTTTAGGCTTTTGGCTGGCTGACGTAATATGGGTTAGGGCTGGTGATGGAGCACGTAGATATCCTTTTGAAGCTTCCTGGGCCGAGTCTCTTGAGAGCCAGAGCTGTTTGCAAGGCTTGGAAAGAAGTAATTGATTCTCCATGGTTTTCAAACCGCTACAGGGATCCATCGCCCTACATATTATTGCCATCGCCAAACCAAGAGGGCTTGCCCTTGTGTAACATATGCCACTTGGTTCTGGGTAAGTGGTTCAAGTTGGAATTTCCATCTACGTATATCCAGTCGGTCTCTCAGTCCGGGCTGGTGCTGGTCCGGGAAGGCAGAGTTTTTTGGGTGGGGAATCCATTCTTCAATAAGTGGAAACGGTATAGCTTAGAATTGCCATATGCGAAATTTGATCATGAGCTTGCAACTCTAGCGGATGATGAGCAGGGCTATCGAGTAGTATTTCGGGTGCGTAGGTTTATGCAAACAGCAGTCCTCTACTCTTGGAAGTCAGAGTGGCTCGTCACAGAGGAACGTAAGGAGGATATCAAAATGGAGGATTTTGCGGATTTTGTCACATCCTCTTCCACTGTTTGTGGCAACATCATCCATTCCATCGGGTCCAAAAACAAAGTGGCACTACTAAGTTGTCGTGTAGACAATGGCAAGGTTCTTTCGCTCCGCTACTTGAAGCTGGGATCTGAAGTACTTGAAGGGCGTTTTAAGCTCTTTGGTTGGGATGGCAAGCTCTACTTGCTGGGAGAAAATGACAGTCACTTATTTGGACTGTTTGAAATAAGAGGAGAGAATGTAGTTCTGATAAGCTGGGCACCAGAAAGCATTTCTACAAAATTTCCCTTCGTAAGGTCGGCAAGCATCTACAACAATACTATCTACTGCATTTTTCAAGTGAAGCTAGCAATGCTAGTAACTTACAACCTCAGTAAACATGGTTCGTGGCAGGTGGTACCACTTCCAGAACCATTACCTCCGTGCATTGGAATCTTAAATATTGTGAAGTTTAGTTTAGACTTACCGTTTGGGTTAGACTTGTGTAGTTCCTATTGATTTTCTTTTTCTCCTCCACACCTTCTGTCTTGTGAGATATATTTTAAGGTGAAAGGTTGTTATGAAGGCAAATCATACACATTTCTAAATAATTTTCTGTGACACTGGAAACTCACTTCCACCATGACAGCCTGCTGATCCAAGAGAGTTTTTTTTAACTGCCATTAAAAGGTGCTTGAAAGCTATTGTAGAAGAACCAGTTAACCTCTTATTATAGACAAAGTGGCCTGTCCAACAGCTTTTCGGATTGAGAAATTTTCGTTCCCACTATAAATCTCATCCAGGCCGAGCATTGAGCACAGAATAAGGCCCAGCACTGGAAATGGCGGTGCTATCCGAAGGAATAATTTTGCAAAACCTTTACTCCTAAAATGTTAGAAACATGGTGTTAAGAATAAATAGGACAAAGGAAAATAAATGTGAACGATAACATGGATCATGGTCAATCTCCCTTGCGGGAGGCTTACTTCCAAGCCTCTTTAGCAGAAATTATGTCTTTTGAGTGGACAAGTTGTCAGAGTTTCGGTACAGTCCTACCATTTAGATCTGTGATAGATGGTAATCAATCACGTCAATATATAGGCTAAAGAGGGCTGAGGAAAGCAGGCAGCCTTGCTTTAACCCAATGGTGTTGGTGATTGAGCAAGGATAATGTTGTATAGTGCCTAGATTATATCTCGGGTGTCCCCCGATAAGCTTTGTCTTGGGACTGTATCCAAGGCTTTCTTGAAGTTTACGAAGCAATATATCTGCTTGTGTGTGTGTGGTGCATAGCAAGTGATCCGCGCAATTGTATTATCGCCAGAAACCCGTCACACATTTCCCTTTCATTCTCTTGCCCTTCTTTTCAGGAGCCATGCTCGCAATTTAAGAGAGAAGACAAAAAGCAAAAAACAAGAATCAAGAAATGAACTCAACATAAGACGCACCAATGGATGTGACATGTGATCTTATCATATGAGAATTCTTGCTTTCCGGGCCGGGCTGTGTCCAGGAGTTCTCGTGGATGCCCTGATGGATCTGTTGGAGGTGATCAAGCTCTCGTGGGAGATGGTCAATCCTCTGAAAGCCAGGCCAGTTTCGAGGAGGCCTGCTGCTGCTCATGGCAACAAGGACTACGGCTACTACTACTGCTACAGTTGTTGACAGAATGACTCTCAGTGTGTTACGAAAAGGCTCTGCAGAGATTGGAAATGGGTGTGTCTCCCAAGCGTTGGAGCTCGAATCGCCCACGTCCGCCCGCACAACAAATCTCGTGTCCAACTTCTGAGCAAGACTACCATCTTTCAGATGTAGATTGATCTCTTTATTCAAGCCAGAACGAGGCCGGGGTTGGTGCGAGCATGCCAAGCGTATGCATTCTCTAGACAAAGCGATTGGCCGTACCGATCTCTCAAACGAGATCCAGAACAAGATCAGCAGCCGGATGTGGGAGGAGGTGGCCGGTTTACAGGCTGCAGCCACAAGGATGCTTGAGCTGCACCACAACCACCGTCTTGTTGTCTTCGACACTCATGGCTTGCATGCTATCACAGAAGAAGGCAAGTTGCATGGCCTGCCCAACACTAGATTCTTTCTCTACCAGCCAGTCGTGGATGCTGGGACAAATGCTCTCAACGCACTCCCGCGGCACACCATCTGATGCCAGCACCAGAAACTCACAGCCCCCATCACGGCGGAGATCAATTTCCACAACGTCGGGAAGAGCCACTACCGCCTGCTCATCACGTCCCAAACCAGCGTTGCTCTTCCATCTAAAGTCTCCCAGAGATCGCGTCACCTGGAGCCCCATGGCGCCAACCTCGCCCCCAACGCTCACGCCATTCAGCTGGATCCACTTGTTCTTCATGACGACCGCACCAGCTCTAGTCGCACGCTCGGCATCGTCCGGCCGCGACTGGACGTTATGATCGATCGTCACTGGCACCGCCTGGTTGTCCCGCCAGATGATGCAATAGCTATCGCCGGCGTGAGCGATAACGAGCTTGTCATCGCGGACCAAGACGGCCACTGCGGTCGTCCCGTGAGAGCCAGGCGACGTTCCCGTGATACTGTTCCAGGAGTACAAAGGCGATGTGTTTTCGCGCTCCAGCCTCTCCAGCTCCTCGGTTCCTGCCTTGGATTGCATCATTTCGTCCATCTTGAGGAAAACCTCGCGGAATCCAGAAGCAAAGTCGCCCTTTTTGTAGTGTGAACTGGCGACGAGGTGCCTGTGGAGATTCCGCGCGCAGAAGCGCGCCGCAGCGCAGCCGCCGTGGCCGTCAAAGACCGCAATGAAGGAGCTCTTGGCGTCCAGGTCGGGGATCACAGTGTAGACATCTTCCATCCTACGCTTGGCACCTTGAGTCGCTGCGGCACCCACCCTGATCCTGGAATTCTCCACCACCGCCTTGTGGACTCGATCTGGCTTCCAATTCCTGAACATGCCAAGCGGATCATCATCGCGGGCAAGCCCAGCGCTTGCTCTCTTCATGTCCTAAAACCCTAATGTCGGAATTTGGGAAAAGGGAAAGAGAGGGGATCTTGTGGCATATTCTACCCCTCCAACAAATCAGGAGCTAAAGAAATAATAAAAGTGATTTGGATAATGTACCGTATAAACAATAGAACCAAGGGAATATACATAGGGCATACTTATATATACCAATGCTTGAAAACATGCTAACCTTGAGAGAATGCACGCCTGCAAGCATTATTGGCGATCGCCAGGTTCCCTCTTCGTGCCTCGCGCATAAACGCTACCTCGAAGTGCCTCCTTGCAAGCTTTCCTCGGCGATCCTGTCCCCGTAGTGGCAAAACAAGCTCAAGGAGCTCCAAATCCCGTACGACTGCGTCCTCCAGCTCCACTGCCCCGATTCTTCCCCCGGGGAGGATCTCCTGGGTCACAGGCGTGCACATTCCAAAGTCTACAAGCCAGACCTTGTCGCCTGAGAGGTAGAGCTCGATGTCGCGAAACCTCACCCCGAGCGTGAATGCCATGTGTGCCATGACGGTTCCCAGCGCCGCAGCTACCTTGCGCCTGTCGAGCTCCGGGAAGACGCGTTCTGCAACCACACAAGAAACAATGGGCTTCATTAGTAGCGTGGCATTGTGGATTTTAAACGCAGGATCTTCGTCGAGGCTGTAGATCCAGCCGCGGTCCTTGATCTCCTCGGGAGATAGGGCATTTTGCCCCTCCAACATCCCGTCTACCAGCGCGGTGAGCTGCTCCTGCTGGATAGCCGGCATCTTCTCCATGACCATGCACGGTTTGTTGTGGAGCTCGCCCTGACACCTGAAAACCAAAGCGTGAATGTCCTCGTTCATGTGTGCAGTGCGCTCAAGAAGCGCCCTCCCACTGGGTGCAAAGGCAAACACTTTGGGGACACGCAAACAGGCCACGTCTGGGTAGTCACGACTTAACCTCTCGATTGCGTCCCTATACAAACCCATGGCGTGCACCTCCGCCTTGAGGTTCGCGTACGAGGTATTGTCTCCTATCAACCGCTTGATGGCGTACTCCCCACCAAAGATCAATCGCCCATTGTTTCCGCCATCGCGCCCCGCCATCCACGCCATCGCGACGCCAATCGAGCCGAGCGGAGGTGCCCTAGGGTAGCAAGCCGAGCGCTCAAGAAAAGAAGAAGAGAGCCTAGCAACGTGAGCGAGAGAGAGAGAGAGAGAGAGGAGGGTATATATATAGTAGAGAGATGGTCTCATTGTGCCACGTGGCAGGAGTACCGTTGGCCGTTGTTCTTTTGCTTGCCGATGTGGCGGATGCCTGCCAGGTGGGAAGCTGCGATTCGGTACTAGCGGGAGAAAGAGGAGGGCCTACATTGTGCCACGTGGCAGGAGTACCGTTGGTCGTTTTCTTTTGTGTAGAGCACGTTTAGGTTAAAGGGAGCTTGCCGATGTGGCAGATACGTTTAGGTTAACAGGGGCTTGCCGATGTGGCAGGTGTTTTGCCAGGTGGGACGCTGCGATTCGCTATTTGGGGCAGCACACCTTTAGCTTAATTTCTGCCTTTAGACATCACCTAGCCCTAACTGGACTATAAGCGAGACTTCCATTCTTTCTTTCGGGCGTTTACTTCTTCACGCTTTTCAACGCCATCCAGCAACTTTTGGGTCGATCTGACAGTTGAAATCCGCAGATATGGCCCGACAAAACGTGTTGCTGTCTGATCATACTGGCTTTGAATTTGTCTTTGTTCTTAATCTTCTTAGCATGATCTAGGGGAGTTTCTGGCCCGTGGAGGAAAAACCCGTAGGCTACAGGCTTTCACGCAAAATTTAGAGAAAACAAAGCAAGAATCTTACATAATCCGGACTTGCGGACACTCATGTTGATTTGGAAAACGAGCAATGGCACCACGTTGAGCTGTTCTTCTTCTGTGAGTTTCGAGATTGGACGTAGTATTTCAAGCGACTTTCGTAACTTCAGCTCGTTTCGCTATCGCAAACTCTGAAAGGTATATAAATCTAAATATATGTCGAAGAAGAGTGCTCTTTACATCTCCGAGAAGTGCATCGTTTATTTGTGGCTCCACATACCAGACATCGCAAACGACTACCCAGGACAACATCAGCTTCAGCTAAACGAAAAAAAAAACTGAAAGTCAATCGTGATGAAAAGTATAAACTTAGTGTGGACAATTATCTTGTTTTACTTTGCAGACAGTGAAATCCAGTTCGAATACAATCTGCAAAATCGAGCGCAAGGAAATAAGAACTGCCTGGAGAAACTACGAAATCAAGAACCTGCTTGAACATCACATTGTCCGCCTTGTTCAGGCAAGTCCCCTCTGCAAAAATGAGCAAAATAGTGCTTTCCGGATCGCTTCCGTCCCTTCTGAAGCTTGGTTTTACTTTCCAGCTTGCTTTTCGTCTCAACTCCATTGCTACGCACAGCAATCCCCTGCGGATGATCGATCGCAGCCTTCCACTGCTTTTCTGGAAACTATCACAACTTAAAAGCGGTGTTACGCCACAGACTTTCACCTGAAGAAGACGGTTTCTTCCTCGCAGCGTACTAACCACGCTCCACTGCTTCCCCTGCTTCCTGAAAACGAGTACAGTGGGACTTGGGAAAATAACGAGAGAAAGGAGCTCCGGCAACGAGTTCCGTTACATGCCTTGTGACTGCCAGGCTCTCATAAACAACAGTTGAGCTACCGTGAGACACACATACCTGTGGTTGCTTTCATTATAGTAGCCCGATGCACATCTTTACCAGAGTATCCTGTCCAAAAAAGAAGGACAAGGAGATGAACAAAGTCGCTCAGACTCTGAGAATGCCAGCGAGAATGCGGCCATCGTTCCCCGTAGCGTTTTCATGCTATCCCGCCTGCAAAGCCGCCCCCATCCTTGAGAACCCCGGACCCGGACAGCAGCTTCCTGCCCAGCGAAAGAAAATGTTTGACGAATACCTGACGCTCTGCCAGCAGCTGGTCCTGCAAATCCTCCTCCACACGGAGCCGCGCCAGCGTGCGTGCGCAAGTCGTGAAGAAGTTACTGCACAGACCACAAACTGTCCTGCGCGACTCGCTCGGACCGCTCGACTCCTGTATCCAGGTCAAGCCGTGCTCGTTAGTAAGCTCGCTACTCGCTTGAGATGTGTATCGCTAACACCGCCCCGTGGACATCGTTGAGGGAATTGAGCTGGGGCAAAACTTCTGGCAGCAGATGACACGAGCAGGACATCGTAAGAGAAGCAAGCCGATCATCACCTGAATGCTCTTACCATGTAGGCTGTAGAATCGGAGGTGACGTTCGTGCCAGAGGAGACCACATGATCAAACCATCAGAGCAAGTTCCCCCAAACTTCTCCAAATCAAGTCACCTGAAAGGCGCAGCGGCCCGAGTTTGGGATCCGGTAACATGCTACATTTGCCAACACCTGGAATCTTCATGATGGAAACGCGATAGCCATCGATTTACTGTGACAGCCAGCCTGGAGCCGAGAAGCATGAATCCCTGGAGGGACAAGTAGAGGCGGTGCTGCAGCTCCCGGACCGATCGCTTGCTGCTGCTGCTGCTGCTGCTGTCGCCGCCAGCACGATTAGGCATCTGGAGACGAAGATCTCCAGAGACCAGGGAAGAAGTGGCATATTGTTTTGCAGCCGCCCAAATGCGAACACCAAGCAAGAATGTATGCTCGCTAACCTCGTCATTGATGCTTCTACACGTCTCAGCTATGGGGCTCTCACGAGCTTGTCATGTGATTACGAAAAGCTTTTGGCGTTGACTTACAAGCAGAAAACACAATCGTTCTCGTCATGCTATAAATGTATAATCACCTATTTTATAGAGGATCATATTATTTGCACAAGATAGTACTGCCCTTCAAGTTATCAATTTCAGAACTGAACAAACAAAAGCGATAAGAAGCAACATTCCAGACTGGCAACAACATCAATGATACTTCAGGGAGAATCAACTCACTCTATCTCATTTTTACCTGTTGAGGTTGCATTTCCTGCAAGATCATCATAGGGTTATCACTTTGTTCATTGTGCCCATTGTCTTAGTGGCTCCTTTCATAGCACCAGCAACAGAAAGGTATTGACATACATCGCCTAAACAACAACACTGGGCTAGAAAAACTTCCTACAAGTTCAATAGGAAAAAGGGAGCCAAAGAAAAATCTCTGTCACTTGAGCTCGACTGCCCTGGAACTTTTGAATGTGCCGCCACAATCTGATCAAATGCTGTCCGAAGTTCGTCGTTGCGCTGAAAGTCGATTCCTGAAAAACAAAAAACAATTTTTCTGAGCACTGCCTTCTTTCGTGGACATGAGATCGCTTCCACGTGTCGTTCGTGTCGACTTTCTTTTAGGCTTTTGACGTAATATGGGTTAGGGCTGGTGATGGAGCACGTAGATATCCTTTTGAAGCTTCCTGGCCCGAGTCTCTTGAGAGCCAGAGCTGTTTGCAAGGCTTGGAAAGAAGTAATTGATTCTCCATGGTTTTCAAACCGCTACAGGGATCCATCGCCCTACATATTATTGCCATCGCCAAACCAAGAGGGCTTGCCCTTGTGTAACATATGCCACTTGGTTCTGGGTAAGTGGTTCAAGTTGGAATTTCCATCTACGTATATCCAGTCGGTCTCTCAGTCCGGGCTGGTGCTGGTCCGGGAAGGCAGAGTTTTTTGGGTGGGGAATCCATTCTTCAATAAGTGGAAACGGTATAGCTTAGAATTGCCATATGCGAAATTTGATCATGAGCTTGCAACTCTAGCGGATGATGAGCAGGGCTATCGAGTAGTATTTCGGGTGCGTAGGTTTATGCAAACAGCAGTCCTCTACTCTTGGAAGTCAGAGTGGCTCGTCACAGAGGAACGTAAGGAGGATATCAAAATGGAGGATTTTGCGGAATTTGTCACATCCTCTTCCACTGTTTGTGGCAACATCATCCATTCCATTGGGTCCAAAAACAAAGTGGCACTACTAAGTTGTCGTGTAGACAATGGCAAGGTTCTTTCGCTCTGCTACTTGAAGCTGGGATCTGAAGTACTTGAAGGGCGTTTTAAGCTCTTTGGTTGGGATGGCAAGCTCTACTTGCTGGGAGAAAATGACAGTCACTTATTTGGACTCTTTGAAATAAGAGGAGAGAATGTAGTTCTGATAAGCTGGGCGCCAGAAAGCATTTCTACAAAATTTCCCTTCGTAAGGTCGGCAAGCATCTACAACAATACTATCTACTGCATTTTTCAAGTGAAGCTAGCAATGCTAGTAACTTACAACCTCAGTAAACATGGTTCGTGGCAGGTGGTATCACTTCCAGAACCATTGCCTCCGTGCATTGGAATCTTAAATATTGTGAAGTTTAGTTTAGACTTACCGTTTGGGTTAGACTTGTGTAGTTCCTATTGATTTTCTTTTTCTCCTCCACACCTTCTGTCTTGTGAGATATAGTTTAAGGTGAAAGGTTGTTATGAAGGCAAATCATACACATTTCTAAATAATTTTCAGTGACACCGGAAAGTCACTTCCACCATGACAGCCTAAGAAAGTTTTTTTAACTGCCATTAAAAGGTGCTTGAAAGCTATTGTAGAAGAACCTATTATAGACATCGGATTGAGAAATTTTAGTAAAAATGAACTAAAAGAAGAAATGGAAAAAACTACAAGATCTTATAACCCAAAAGCATAAATATATTCACCATATTTAATTAGCCCAAAATCCCTAGTTTAAACACAGTGGTTCTACATTAATATTAATAAATGGCATTATAGCCATACATACACACAGGATCAATCACAGGACACACAAAGCATTGGAAAAGGTCAAAAGTTATCTGGGAGCCGAAATGCAGCACCAGCGCCACACTGTAGACAGAGCTTTTACTTTTAGAAAATCTCAATATACAGAATTTTTAAAGAATCAGGAAGATGCATGCGGAGCTATGCCCAAATATGAAAACTCTACTCTTGCAGGTTTTGAGGGATGAGGCTTTGCAGGAACTCTAGGAACTCTAGGACGTGCTGAGGCGAATCAAGGCAGCAGAGTTCTCCGTCATCGTTTCTCCGAAACCAGGTGCGTCTGATCACGTCCACTACGTCTTGTATGACAACTGCAACAAAAAGAGAAAACCAAGCATAACTTATAGCATGCGCTGGGAGATTGATAATCACTCACGTCGCGTGCCTGCATCTGTAGCCTCTGTGTCTGCCAAAGTGAACGAATGTGAGGATGGCTACAGAGACTTAACCATAAACGCTACCTTGGGACGCACCAGAGTCTTCCTCGTTGTTTATATCTGCACCTAAGATATAAGCATGCCACATACTGAACGAAAAAGACCGAAACAAACCATTGTTCGCAGTAGCCTCGGCAGGATCGATACTTCCTTGGCGTGCTTGTTCGGACAAAGATGACTCTTCCACCCTGTTTATATCTGCAACTAGAACCTAAGTATGTCACGAACTCCACAAAACAAATCGAGACAAACCATTGTTCGCAGTAGTCTCGGTTCTGGACGCACCAGAGTCTTCCACTGTGTTTACATCTGCAAGTAAGGCATAAGCATGTCACATAATCAACGAGACAAACCATTGCTCGCAGTAGTCTCGGGTGGATCGATAGTTCTGGACGCACCAGAGTCTTCCACTGTGTTTACATCTGCAAGTAAGACATAAGCATGTCACATAATCAACGAGACAAACCGAAACCGAGACAAACCATTGCTCGCAGTAGTCTCGGCTGGTTTGATAGTTCTGGACGCATCAGAGTCTTCCACTGTGTTTACATCTGCAAGTAAGACATAAGCATGTCACAAACTCAACGAGACAAACCGAAACAGAGACAAACCATTGCTCGCAGTAGTCTCGGCTGGATTGATAGTTCTGGACGCACCAGAGTCTTCCACTGTGTTTACATCTGCAAGTAAGACATAAGCATGTCACAAACTCAACGAGACAAACCGAAACCGAGACAAACCATTGCTCGCAGTACTCTCGGGTGGATCGATAGTTCTGGACGCATCAGAATCTTCCACTGTGTTTACATCTGCAAGTAAGACATAAGCATGTCACATACTCAACGAGACAAACCGAAACTAACCATTGCATGGCTTAGACTCGACAGGAACGATAGTTTCTACAAACAAACAACAAGATGATTCAGAGAAGACGCGATGAACAAAAGCAAAGAGAAAAGAATACAGAAGAGAAATGATATACCTCCATCGATGGTAGCTCTTGCAACCTCGCTAGAAGCTGGTGAATCCACGGACTCTGGACAAAAACAACACAACGCGTCAGGGATTCAAATAATCTATTCACGAAACCACAAACATCACATACCGGCTCCTTGATTTCCTTCCACCGTAAAAAGCATAAGCGAGCAATCGATCATCATACCTCCATCGGAGCTGGAGCTAGGTCCAGAAGACGACGCATGCGCATCACTTGATCCAGAAGAGGCTAGAGGAGAATCTACACGATGCAAAGGCGTCAGATCGAGACGAGGAATCAGAAGATTCACACGAGAGGACGCATGATCTACACCTCCTGGACGAAAGATTACGAGATATTTCTTGTCATCGCGCGACTTACCAGCGCCATCGCTCTCGTCGGAAGTGTCTGCGGCAAGAAATTTCCAAAATACGTGAGATACAAGCACAGATCGATGAGAATTTCACTGACCGGTGCGCGTCTGGCACAAATCGACCGAAGTGTTGCAGCTCCCGCCGCAATCGTTAGCGCTCCCTGCAAGAACACCAGAGATCTTCGAAAATCCAGACAAGGCGAGGCACTACCAATGCAGCGCCAAGCGAAGGAGAAGAGCAGCACAAGCGCAACCCAGGAAACCCTATAAGACGCCATTCTCTTTGCGACGTTCTTCAGCGGAAGGGTCCTTTATATAGCGCTGGGATGAGCGGGAAAAATCCGAAATCAAAATGATCCAGGAATATGCTAATCGCCGACGTGGCATTTGCGAAACAGGAAGAAGGGATGAGTTAAGCTAGCTTTTCTACCGGAGGAACGATCTTACCTCAGATAAATTCTTCGTCTACGCATTCTCGCCAATGCCGGAGCTCGATCCTTCGTGCCCATCGCTTGCTGTTAAACCCTAAAATAACAATAGGGGAGAGGAGATTAATTTCGGGCTAGGTCATGGCGCCCGCCAAGCCAGGCGATGCGGCATTCGCGAATGTGGATCATGTGGTGAGCTGCTAAATCTTGGATCTAGAAATTCGTGGAGCGCTCACTGTGTCTTTGTGGTTTTTTCTCGATTCTGTCCATCCTGGATCAAGAATGCAGAGCTTTTCACTCTCACCTATGGCGCCATGGTCCGGCAGCTCCTCACGGACTTCGAAGACGTGGAGGAAGTGAACAAGCAGCTCGACACCATGTAAGGCCCGAGCATTTCTCTTTTTTCTTTTTTTGTTTTCATCCCCTTCTTCGTTTGCTAGCATTGATAAGAATTTCTGTGTGTTTCTTTCTCTCTATCAGGGGATACAACATTGGAATTCGCTTGATCGACGACTTTCTCTCCAAAGCCAACGTCACAAGGTGCTCAGAGTTTCGAGAGACCGCAGATGTCATTGCCAAGGTTCCTGGTGTTCACAACTCTCGAAACTTTGATCGCTGGACTCTAAATTTTTTTTCCTTCGATCTCTTTCGTGGGCAGATTGGATTTAAGATGTTCTTGGGAGTGACTGCCACCGTCTCCAACTGGAACGCCGATTTCACCGAGTGCAGCTTGGTTCTCGATGACAATCCCCTCGTGGATTTTGTGGAGCTCCCGGAGACTTGCCAGGGCCTCTACTACTGCAACGTCTTGTGTGGAGTGATCCGCGGAGCTCTAGAAATGGTAAACAAAAGCTATGCTTTTCCTTTCCAGCCTCGTATTAAGTGTCTTCTTTCTTCGCTTGTTCTCCTCGCAGGTATCCATGAGAACCGAAGTAAAATGGGCGCGGGACATGCTTCGTGGGGACGATGCGTACGAATTGAGGCTAAAGCTCATCGAGCATGTCGCGGAAGAGTATCCGTACAAGGATGACGATTAAACATGCGTTCAATGTGTTTAATGGATCATGTGGTTCGATTTAAACAACTTGAATTAAGAAAAGCAAAGGAAAAACTATTTAATCAATCTCCGCATGTTATACACAAAATCAACTCTTTCAATAGGAGCGGTGCCATGCAAATATAATCTTCACAATGGAATCTTCTTATATATGTAACGTTTACCTTGAGCTAGGGCGAGTTATTAGGGTTCTTGGAAATGGAGGACGAGGAGCGTCAAAACATGGAGCGCTTCAGCACGGAGGGCGATTTCGTGGATGGTGAGTGGATCGACGGTGAGTTCTACTACCGGAGCCGCCGGAAGAGGCGGGGGCAGACCAAGGAGGAGGCGCTCTACGGCTACCAGTCGTCAGGGTCGGATTCGGATGGAGGAGGAGGAGGAAGAAGGGGCAGGAAGAAGCGGCGGGGCGGGATAATCGTCGAGGACAAGTCGAGCAAGCCCGTGAATTTCGTGTCGGCGAGCGTCCAGGACGTGGGCACTGAGAATCAGGCATCGTCGTCCTCTAGGAAAGAGATGGAGGAAGAAGAAGAAGAAGAAGAAGAAGAAGAAGTGCCTGGCGCCGGGCTGGGATTTCGAGCTAGTAGCCGGGATAGAGGAAGCGATGAGGGCGATGAGCGAGGTGGTGTTGGGCTTGGCTTTCAAAGGGGAGGGATTGGTTTCCAGGCTGATGGCGATGAGCCTGGTGGTGCTGGAACTGGTTTCCAGAGGGGAGGAATTGGTTTCCAGGCTAGCAACGAAGAGGGCGATGATCAGGCTAGGAACGAAGATGGAATTGGAGGACGAGGTGGACTTGGTTTCCAGAGAGGAGGAATTGGTTTCCAGGCTAGAAGTGAAGATGGTGATGGACGAGGTGGCGTGGGGCTTGGTTTTCAAAGGGGAGGAATTGGCTTCCAGGCTAGAAACGGGGATGCCGATGGACGAGCTGGTGTGGGACTGGGTTTCCAAGGTAATGGAGCTGCGAGTGCCGGGGACGATGACGATGGGGATCTGGAGCTGCCGAGTGCTCTGGGAAAGAAGATCCAAGAGAAAGTCCGGCAGAAGACAAAGAAGAAACCCGGAGGCCCAGCTTCTAGTACCTCTGTTGAGTATGTCTGGCAGAAGCACACCAGCGAATTTACCAACAAGATGATGTCGAAGATGGGATTAACTGGTGGTACCGGCTTGGGAAAGAACTTGCAAGGCAGGGTGGCGGCGATTGAAGTGAAGTTGAGGCCCAAGAACATGGGGATGGGATACAATGACTTTCAGGAGGTGACGACGGGTCGTGATGATCCAGCAGCAGCGACAGAAAGCGAAGAAGTGGCCCATAGGTCGAGAGCAAACGAGCAGCTCTGGATGAAGAAGAACAAAAAGAAGGCAAAAACTTTCGTTTCAGCCGAGGAGCTCTTGTCACGGCAGCAGGGAAGAACAGTTGGCAAGGTTTTGGACATGACGGGGCCACAGGTGCGCGTTGTCACGGACATGAAGGACCTCAACGCCGAGAGAATGGTTGTCGAGGAGGACGACACCCCCATGCCGGAGCTCCAGCACAACTTGAAGCTCCTGGTAGATCTCGTTGCTTCGGACATCCAGCAGTACGACTCCAGGCTCAGGCACGACAAGCAAACCATCGCCATCCTTGAGAAGGACCGGGACCGGCTGCAGAAGGAGCTGGAGCTCCAGAGCAGGAGCCTCGAGGTGATGCACTCGATCACTTCCGCCATCGAAGGTGTCCAGCAAGAAGCTGCGTCGCGGAGGCTAACTCTAGACGGCCTGCTCAAAACCTTCGCCAAGCTCAAGGCCGAGTTCCCGGAGGAGTACAAGCTCTGGAACCTTTCAGCTCTGGTGCTGTCTCACGCGGCACCGAGGATCACGTCTCACTTCCAAGCATGGCAGCCGCTCCTCCAGCCGTCCCGAGGTGTCGACGTTCTCCTTCCGTGGATGGAACTCCTCCAGGAGCAGGAGGAGGAGGCGATCTTCACCGAGGTGGACTCTTCTCCGTATACTCGCCTGGTGATGGAAACGGTGCTGCCGCATATCAACCGTGCGGTGATCAACTGGGAAGCTCGAGAGCCGGAGCCGCTCCTCCGGGTGCTCGAGGTGTGGGAGAAGCTCCTCCCAGCGTCGGTGTTCCAGAGCGTGCTGGACAGCTGCGTGATGCCCAAGCTGCGAGCTCAGGTGGAGGCGTGGGATCCATTGCAGGACACGGTCCCGGTTCACCACTGGGTGCATCCCTGGCTGCCGCTCCTCGGCTCGAGGATGGACCCGGTGTGCGATACCATCCGGTGGAAGCTAAACAGCGTGCTGCAAGCCTGGGATCCCAGTGACGTTTCGGCCTACTTGATGCTCTCGCCGTGGCACTCGGTGTTTGATGCGGCGAGCTGGGAGCAGCTCCTGGCACGGAACATCGTCCCGAAGCTAAAGGTGGCGCTCGAGCAGCTGGAGATCAACCCGGCACAGCAGCGGCTGGAGCCTTTCTCGTGGGTGATGGCCTGGGCTCCGGTGATGCCGCTCCGTCTCATGATCCGGATGCTGGAGGAGAAGTTCTTCCCGAAGTGGCACCACGCGCTGTTCGCATGGCTGGGATCCAACCCGGACTTTGACGAGGTGACGCAGTGGTACCAGGGGTGGAAGTCGGTGCTGCCGGCGGAGCTGCTGGCCAACGATCGCGTAAGGTGGCAGCTCAACGGGGCGCTGGAGATGATGAACCAGGCGGTGGAGGGGGCGCCGCTGGTGATGCGCGACGCGGAGCAGTGGCAGCAGCAGTTTGTGGAGAAGAAGTTCGCGGCGGTGGCGGTGGCGGTGGCGGAGGCGGAGGCAGAGATGAGCTTGAAGGAGGTGGTGGAGAGCTTCGCGCAGGAGAAGGACGTCCAGTTCTTGCCAAAGCCGGGGCGGCTGCACCAGGGGCTCCAGGTTTATGGATTTGGATCGGTGAGTATCGCGGTGGACAATCACAAGCAGGCAGTCTTGGCTCAGGCTGGGCAGAAGTGGACGTCCGTGTCGCTGGAGCAGCTGCTCGAGATCCACCATGCTCGAAAGGGTGGCAAGTGGAACTCTTGAGCGATTGACAAGATCGACAGGTTTCGAAGAAGAGGAGATTGACAAGATCGAAAGTTTTCGAAGAAGAAGAGCTCTTGAGCGATTGACAAGATCGAAAGGTTTCGAAGAAGAGTGTGCGAAAAGATTTCGTAGAAGAGCTCTTGGGCGATTGACAAGATGGAAAGATTTCGAAGAAGAAGCGCTCTTGGGCGATTGAAGAGCTCTTGGGTGACAACCAAGATCGAAAGTTTTCGAAGAAGAGCTCTTCGAAAGAATTTTTTAACTAAACTTTGACCTTTAACTTTGCCCTTGGATTAAATTTGAGTTAACTTAGGTCACCTAGGAGTGTTCTTCCTTTTCTCTTTGGCCCGGTGGCCATGGCTGCCTCGCTCTCGCGGAATTCGTCCGGCCGGGCGGCAGCAGGATTATTGCCCTATCCAGCCAAGTTCCACGTCGCGGCGGCCTACGCGGGCTTCTCAGCTGACGACGACGACTACGAGAATGTGGCTCTCCCGCTCGGATCGCTCTTCACGCCAGAGATGGCGCTGCTCTTGTATGGGCTCTATATGCAGGTATGGATCTTCGCCATGCTGGATCGGCAGCTAGATCGCTTGCCCTGGAAATATTTCGGTGTAATCCTCTGGAATTTTGGGATCCAGGCCACGGTCGGGCCGTGTACAGCTGCGAAGCCTCGGATGTGGAATACCCAGGAGCATTTCAAATGGAAGAGGTATAGCTTGAATTTGGAGAGAGTTGGGCTTTAACGTTTCCTTTAGTTGGAGCGAGTTTAAAGAGTTGCCATCAATTGAAGCTATGCGGCTCTTCGTTAGAACCTTGGAAGTAAGTGTTTCGATGTTTTTTCGAGAGTTTCCATCGATTTTCCTTTGCAGGAACAAGATCCAGACTGGTATTTCAAGTCGCAAGGGAGCGAAGTTGAGGCAATTGGCGAAATGGTAAGAACGCTTTACATGTTTTTCGTTTTTGTGTTAGGAACTTTAACTCTGCTGCATTCTTTCAGCCTGTGCAAGACAATGATTTAAATCCAAGTCTTCAAGAGGAGGACATCCCCGCTGTAAACAATTCTCCTCCATCTCCCCCGCTGCCATCAGCAAATGGTGGGATCGGCACGGAGGTGAAAATGGAAGAAAACGATGTCGAGTGCTCCACTATTATGGAGATTGATGTTCGCAACGAATGGCTTTCACCTCTGGTATCTGGACGACGACCAGCAGCTCGCTATCAGGTTTGTCTTTCATATGTGGGAAACTAGATCAAGAACGCTATAAACTTTGGTCTTTGCGCAGCATGCAGCAGCGGTTGTACACGATAAGATGTTCGTGATTGGAGGGAACCACAATGGCCGGTACTTGAACGATGTCCAGGTATGTAGATTTTCGCTCACTAATAACTGATGTTGGAATTTTCGTCATAGGTTCTCGATCTAAGAACGCTCACCTGGTCCAAAGTTGAGCAAAAGCTCCCAACGTCTCCTTTGTCGTCGTCCATGCCTCCGATCCCTTCAAATCAGATTTTGTCACCCTGTGCCGGTCATAGCCTGGTAATTTTTCTAGCTTTATACTTTCATCTTACATTCTTCCTGAGTGTTTTTCCAGATTCGGAAGAACAGGATGCTGTTTGTTGTGGGTGGCCACTCGAAAAACTCCCCCGACTCTGTCTCAGGTTAATGTAATGCAGAGGAACTTTGAGATCCATCTCACTTCAGTGCTCTCTATCTCCAGTTCATGCTTTTGATACGGAGACTTTCACTTGGTCGCTTTTCCCAACGTATGGACAAGCTCCGGTACGTGTGACATACGGTATCACGACAAGATTGACCATTCGCTGTTTGTGGTGCTCAGATCGCGAGAAGGGGCCAGTCCGTTTCACTGATCGGATCCAACTTAGTCATGTTTGGTGGAGAAGACTCCAAAAGGCGTTTGCTCAATGACCTCAACATCTTTGATCTGGAAACAATGACATGGGAAGCTGTCGATGCAATGTAAGTCGTTTGGTCTTGCTTGTTTGTATCTATATCCTTCACTTTCAGAGGACCGCCTCCATCTCCTCGTGCCGACCACGCTGCAGCGGTCTATGCTGGTCACTACCTATACATATTTGGGGGTGGCTCACATTCCAGCTGCTTCAGTGACTTGCATGTTCTGAACTTGAAAACGGTAGGCTTGATGCATTGCTCCTTTGAACTTATGGATTCGTGACTTCAGATGGAATGGTCCCGCAAAGAGACTGAGTATACACCCACGCCTCGTGCAGGCCATGCTGGCGCAACAGTTGGTGATTTGTGGTACATTGTTGGTGGAGGGGACAATAAATCTGGTAAGTGTATCGTCCATTTTATGTTTGTTTTAACTTCTCCTGTACCATGTCCTATACCAGGGATTTCCGAAACGATTGTACTGAACATGAAAACGCTTGACTGGTCACTTGTAACTTCTGTGCCTGCACGGACGTATATCGCATGCGAGGTATGACATTTTGATTGTCCTTGCCGGCCTTTTTCCGATTTTATTGGTCATTTTCTGTCCTGCCTAGGGATTGAGTCTCGTCTCCGCGTGTTTGAATGGCGAAGAAACTTTAATAGCCTTTGGTGGCTACAACGGAAAATACAGCAATGAGGTTTGTTGTTTTTTTCTTTTTTGAGACTGTGACTTGTATTGAGGTGGAAGCTTTCAGATGCATGTCCTGAAGACGGGCATAAGCCAATCAAAGGCGTCTCCAGCTCCAAGTTTTGGTGGCAGCCATTTTACGGAGGTTGGAGAATCTGCAGACGTGCCCGAGAGCTCAATAATTTCGAAGGAACCAGTAGATCATCAGCCTACGCCTACGGTATCATGTTTTTACGCGTCTCCATGTTATTTACTGTTTCTCTTTTCTTTCCAGGAGAATGGCGGCTACAACACTCCAAAGTTGCTGGAGCTTAAACGGGAGCTTGAGGTGGCTCTAACGTCATGCCAAGACGAAAATAACAAGCTAAAGAGCGAGCTGTCGATCACTACGAACGATCTCTCCATGGTCTTTCTTCGTTTTGTGCACGAAACGTTAGTTCTACAATTTCTCTTTACTGTGCAGGAGTTGCAGTCAGTTCGGGGCCAGTTCGTGGCCGAGCAAACGAGATGCTTCAAATTGGAGGTAAAGTCAGCCTGCAAGAGAAACCTGTCCCGTAACCTTGCATTTTCTTTCTCCAGGTCGAAGTCGCAGAGCTGAGGCAAAAGCTCCAGTCCATGGAGGCGTTGCAAAAGGAGGTGGATTTGCTACGACGGCAAAAGGCTGCCTCGGACCAAGTCGCGGCCCAGCTCGTCCAGCAGAAGCAAAACGCCTCTGGAGGTATGTGGTCGTGGCTCGCAGGGACTCCCGGCGAGGGAGGCAAAGTTTTAGATTCCTGAAAGAAAGCTTAGCTGCACGAAGGAGAGAAAACTTAAAAACCGTGACGATGAGAAGTGGAAAAAGAAGCTCGGCTTCGAGATTTTGTGGTAATGCGAGGTAATGGTTTTTTCCAAGCTCTAGATCGTGTTAACTCGTTAGATTCCAGGCCGTTTTATAAAGATATTAATCGGTATTTTTTAGCGAAGCCATTGAACGCTGTGTAACATTGGCGGTACAGCAAATAAATTTTCATTCCTTTCGTGCTGAGAAATGTCAAAGCTGAAATATTAGATCAAATATATGCTAAGTTGATTATTACTTTTGTTTAGTCCTATTATTGTTTTTATTATTATAATATTGGACCTTAAAGGTCCAAAAATTTAATAATTGGTTCTTATACGGCATCGTAGCCGTACACCATCGTTGGCCTCCATATAAAAATTCCAAAGAGTGCAAGCTAGCGAGCCATTGAAAGGTGTGTATCATCCATCGGCCATGGAAAAGTGAAAAGAAACTCCTATCATTCCTTTGGATCTTTCGTGCTACAGCGAAGAACGCAAACTCTCTTGGCATGATCTTTGTCTCGTATCATTGGCTCTTTTCATGCGGATGCTCGAAACTTTAATAGCCTTTGCTGGCTACAACGGAAAATACAGCAATGAGGTTTGTTGTTTTTTTCTTTTTTGAGACTGTGACTTGTATTGAGGTGGAAGCTTTCAGATGCATGTCCTGAAGACGGGCATAAGCCAATCAAAGGCGTCTCCAGCTCCAAGTTTTGGTGGCAGCCATTTTACGGAGGTTGGAGAATCTGCAGACGTGCCCGAGAGCTCAATAATTTCGAAGGAACCAGTAGATCATCAGCCTACGCCTACGGTATCATGTTTTTACGCGTCTCCATGTTATTTACTGTTTCTCTTTTCTTTCCAGGAGAATGGCGGCTACAACACTCCAAAGTTGCTGGAGCTTAAACGGGAGCTTGAGGTGGCTCTAACGTCATGCCAAGACGAAAATAACAAGCTAAAGAGCGAGCTGTCGATCACTACGAACGATCTCTCCATGGTCTTTCTTCGTTTTGTGCACGAAACGTTAGTTCTACAATTTCTCTTTACTGTGCAGGAGTTGCAGTCAGTTCGGGGCCAGTTCGTGGCCGAGCAAACGAGATGCTTCAAATTGGAGGTAAAGTCAGCCTGCAAGAGAAACCTGTCCCGTAACCTTGCATTTTCTTTCTCCAGGTCGAAGTCGCAGAGCTGAGGCAAAAGCTCCAGTCCATGGAGGCGTTGCAAAAGGAGGTGGATTTGCTACGACGGCAAAAGGCTGCCTCGGACCAAGTCGCGGCCCAGCTCGTCCAGCAGAAGCAAAACGCCTCTGGAGGTATGTGGTCGTGGCTCGCAGGGACTCCCGGCGAGGGAGGCAAAGTTTTAGATTCCTGAAAGAAAGCTTAGCTGCACGAAGGAGAGAAAACTTAAAAACCGTGACGATGAGAAGTGGAAAAAGAAGCTCGGCTTCGAGATTTTGTGGTAATGCGAGGTAATGGTTTTTTCCAAGCTCTAGATCGTGTTAACTCGTTAGATTCCAGGCCGTTTTATAAAGATATTAATCGGTATTTTTTAGCGAAGCCATTGAACGCTGTGTAACATTGGCGGTACAGCAAATAAATTTTCATTCCTTTCGTGCTGAGAAATGTCAAAGCTGAAATATTAGATCAAATATATGCTAAGTTGATTATTACTTTTGTTTAGTCCTATTATTGTTTTTATTATTATAATATTGGACCTTAAAGGTCCAAAAATTTAATAATTGGTTCTTATACGGCATCGTAGCCGTACACCATCGTTGGCCTCCATATAAAAATTCCAAAGAGTGCAAGCTAGCGAGCCATTGAAAGGTGTGTATCATCCATCGCCCATGGAAAAGTGAAAAGAAACTCCTATCATTCCTTTGGATCTTTCGTGCTACAGCGAAGAACGCAAACTCTCTTGGCATGATCTTTGTCTCGTATCATTGGCTCTTCGGAGAATTTGCGATTAGTTTAAAGGTAAAAAGCTCTTTAGTGCCTTGCTTTTGGCAGTTGTGTGTTCGAATCTCACCCGATTTAAATAGTTGGGCCACGTTTCGGTGATTTGGGCCACCGGCCGGCCGTCCGTACTGGCGATTATAAAGCTCCCATGGCTATGGCGATCGTGAGGTTTCTTTCGTAATAAAGGAGACGCCGCGGCTGCGCCTTTTCCCTCTCGGTGGTAATGCGTCGCCTTTTCGGCGGTGTCAGCGCCTTGCGCGTGTTCTTGAAATAGCAGCGGCGATCGATCGATCGAGCATCGGCCGGCATTGGTGAAGCGCGGAAGAATCCCTGGCGCTCCTGCATTTCGCGTTCTCGCATTGCTCGATCCCTCGGTGAGAGATTCTTGCGCGCGCGATCGATATTATGGCCGCGGTGGAGAATGGCGGCGACGGCCGATTGGACAGCGCGGTGTTTGGCGGATGCGCGCCGTGTCGATTGCCGTGGAGGAGCCGCGTGCCAGCGGATCACTCCGGGAGCGTGCTCCAGCACTTGCGGCACCAGCAAGATTGCAGCACCAGCAGCGATTTCCCCAGCTCCAGATCGGTGTCGGCCGTCGCCAAGGTCTTCTCGGTCCAGAGGAGTCGATTGAAATTCGAGTCTGGCAAGAATCTCATCTTTCTATGTAAGTACTCATTTCCATTTCCTTGGCTTGCTGTGTAGTAGGGTTAAAATATGCTGTGTCCTTTCTTTCTTTACAGACGAGCCCGGTAAGCAAGTCGCGAGCGCCGTGAAAATAAAGAATGTGAGTCGATCGCCTGTCGCATTTAAGGTACCTGGGCATCACACTTTTGCTCCTCTCTCTCGGCCGCTCACTCAAACGTTTTTCCCTGTTTGGTTTTTTCTCGCAGTTCCAGACGACAGCGCCCAAAAGCTGTTTCATGTGCCCCCCAAATGGCGTTATCATGCCCAACGAGACAATCGTCGCTAAAGGTGATAAGCCTTGATAGATTATACCATTTGGGAAAATCCAAAGTCTCTGAGCTATCGTGCTACAGTTGTAAAATATGTCGAGGTTCCCGAGGGGCCGCAGCAGCACCCAAGGAAGCTCAAAGACAAATTCCGGATTGTTAGTCTCAAAGTGAAGGAGGGAGTGGAGTACACCCCAGAACTGGTACGTTTTATATGCATGTTTTACTGGCTGGCTAACCATCTGGATGTGAGAAGTTCGACGAGCAAAAGGATCTTGTGGCGGTGGAGAGAGTCTTGAGAGTGGTTTTCTTGGACCCGCAAACAGCATCGCCGGTCTGTATCGATTTTATCTTAAGATTGTTTTTATCTCCAGCGACTCACCGTTTGTCTTCAAGGCGGAGCTGGAGAAACAACAGAAGCGCTTGGCCGAGGCTGACGCTGCACAAGAGGCCCGAAAAAAGCCTCAAAATGATCGATCCCATAAAGGAGGTGCTGTGCAGGGATTTGTGATTGATGAATGGGTATGCAGCTTCCTTCGTCACATTATCGCTCACAAATTAACTGTTCTTCTCTTCTCTTGTTTTTTCTTTTCGTTTTGTAGAAGGAGCGCCGCGAAAAGTATCTAGCTAAGCAGCAAGCCGAAGCTCAGGATTCCTACTAAAACTTAAAGGTCTGGACATCAACCTCTTCCTGTCGTCAAAGCCGAATCGGTTGCTCAAGTTTGTAGCAGTAGTGGGCTTGAGAGAGCTTTGAGTCGAGTTTTCCTTTACTACTGGGAGCAGCTTTGAAGCTAAGCCCAGAAGCAATGTGTCAGATCCCGAGAGGCGAGGAAACTGTGTCCAGCTAGGCTCTCAACATCATCTCCGCTTGCAAGTCAATGGGTGGTGGTTACTAGTGTTGTTTTCTATGGCCTGCTTATCTGTTGAAAGAGAGAGAGGAGAGAGAGAGAGAAGGGGTCGTCTAGCTCCGCTAGTTGTCGCAGCAAACGAACGAACGTGGTCTCGAGATAAATCACAAAACAATGGGGGTGCGGATGTCCCTGTCGAAAGTGTCTTGTGTGTGGGTGTGAGATGAACGAGCTGAGTAATGCTCGATGCATGTTGTGTTTGTGGAGTTCTTTTTCTTAAGTTTCCATAGTTTCTCAGGGGCTAGGCTTTGTTTATGAAGTTTCATTTGTACGTGCTTGTGTGTTTGTGTTTTGATGTGTGTGTGTGTGTGTGGTGTTGTTTGCAGGGATGATTTTCAATTTCACATGGAAGTTACGCACACTTGGTGGTTAGCCTGTTGACGTCTGTTCACGCGAACGGAGACGCCAGGTCTGTTGACTTAACGGAGATTCTGGCGTTGCTGCAAGAATTCAGGTACATGGCATACGATTGAAAATCTGGGAGTGCGTATTTATAAATATTTCTGGTGTTGCTTCTGTGTGGGGTTTTGCTTTGCTGTGGCGGATTTACCCGTATGTATGGCCGATTGATTGATTGATATGTCCAGAGTGGTAGGAGTTCTGGCGTGGGATTATAATTATCTATGCATTTTCTTTTATATCCAACAGGCATGGATATATATTTTGTATGCCCCTCCTACTCCCTCTTTCTTCTTCTCTCTCTCTCTTTCTCTCTCTCCTGGCCGTGTGTGCATGCCGCTTAGCTATTAGTAATCCAGATCCTGCGCTGCTTCCGGTGATGACGATGATGGCTGTGGCTGTGCTTGCGTGGTTTACAAAGCAGTGAAGTACTCATAAGACTTTATATTGTAGATCTGCGTCCAGGCCAGGAAAAGCAAGTTATTTGGGTTCTCGGTCCCGTGTCTTCTACACCGGCGGCAGGAGGTGTACATGTAGTCCAGGAATGAGGATCAGGAAGCGTCCCTCCTCGGGACCGCAAAAGCAGCGTTTGATTCAGCAGCTGCCGGCGACTTACAAGTACGTTTTTTCAACGGGTTGGTTGTTGAAGAGAGCATATGAAGAGCATGACAAGCAGCAAAGTACGGGGGTGTTAGATTCAAGGTGTAGCAGGCTTCCTGAAGAACGGGGATTGTCGCTTCATGGTGGATTGTGGCAGTCCAAAGCAGGGTACAGGGACGATGGAGTAGCAAACACGTCGTTACAATGTTGCAGGTGTGAACAACAAGAAAAGAGCTCGGGTGTAGGCAGGGAATGCAAGCAGCCTCCGCAGCAGCAGCACCCAATTGGTGAGGAGGCAATTGGGGAGGAGCCGCGAACGCCACCTCCTTTCTGCGGCGAGAAGCCAGCCTTGGCACGGCAAAGGTCCGAGCATGAACTTCATCCGGGGCCGGTCGTGGACGAGAAGTTTTGCTCCTGTGGGAAAGACCAGCAGAGGCAGAAGCGGAAGCAGCAGACGAAGAAACCAATTCAGGACTTGGTCAAAGGGGAATCTTCGGGCTCAGGACGGAAGAGAACGAGAACCCGCGTGGTGGAGCAGCACCAGCAGCAGGAGGCGGCGAGTGAAGATGACCATGGCCTTCTGCGTGCTTCTTCGAGACTACGGGTAAGACGCGTACATGCCATTTTCCTGCTTTAGTGCTCGCTGCTTTTTCTGCGTTTGTGTTTGCATTGAATATTGCGTTGCATTCCTTGCATAGGTAGCCTTCCTTTCACAGGGTAGTTGTTTTTCTGGTTGCTGGTTGCTGCTGGTGTTAAGAGGCCACTGACCAATATTAGAAGACGGGTGCGCTAGATACTTTTAATGCCTGAAGCATAAGTTAAGCAAGCTGAAACACCGGATTGAATAGTCTTGCATCGCATGGGTGCCGTCAATTCCGCGTGTTCTCTTTTCAAGCTTGCCGCTGAATTCTCCATCGAGACTAGATGGCCATTGTCGTCTAGCAGAGAATGCCTGCTTGATTTGTATAGAAGAACTTCTGGCTGTTGCATGAGAGTGGGGCTGGATATTCTTTCCCAAAAGCTGACTGTGACATTGAATGATCTCCTTTGTGTGCTGCCATGTCTGTGTCTGGTGGCGCAGGATACAGCTGAATCAAGCGGGCGCTCTTCACATGATAATTGTGGTCCTCAACAAAGGTAATGCGTTGCATGCAACGCTCCCACTTCTGGTTAAGCGCTAACCAAGCGAATTTTTGGTTTTCTTTTGCATTTGCGAGCAGCAGGCTCAAAGCTGGTGGTGGAGCCTCGCTTGGTGGTATTTGTTTGTTTTTGCTCCTATGCATCCAACAGCACTAGCACTTTTTGTTCGCAGGGGAGTCGTACTTGCGAGAGCTGGGCAAGATGGACCCGCTTCGCCGAGCACTGCACACGGTGGTGTCGGAGGCTGGCATCGCGGGGCTCACAGCTCGAGAAGCGGCGGACAGGATCTCGAGGCGGGGGTTGCTATCCGAGGCAGACATTCCCAGGTCCGTCAAGATGGCCAAGGTGATGAGGGACAGCCCATACTTGCTGGAGCTGACACGGGGTAGCAAGTTCGTGCTGTGGAGCACATTCCTCGAGGAGTCCTCCAGAAAGGCCGGCTTTTTCCACAGTGGTGGTGCTGGTGCTGGTGGTGATAACCGAGCTCCGCCAGCCACCGTCACCGCCAAGGCGAGAAGAAGAGCACAGGCTCTCTACGCAGCTCCTCCTGCAGCAGCAGCAGCAGCAGCAGTGCTAGTCGCAAGCTCCGGGGAAGAACAACAAGCGGGAAACCAGGATGATCGGTACCGAGCAGTAAATGGTGTGAGCTTTTATAAAGCTCAAGTTCACAGGGAAGATCACGCTTGTACGAGCGTAGTACGGCAGGAGGTTGGTGGTGGTGATCTGAGGGAAGCGATTGGAATTCGGCAAGATCACAGAGAAGTTCTTGGGAAGGAAGTGGTGAAGCGGCAGTTCTTCGACTTGAACCTAGCTCCGCAAGAACAGGAGGAAGAAATGTGAGAACTTTGAGGCCAGGGAGCAAAGAATTGCTTGGGGATTCCAATCGATGGATTGGGCGAAAGAAAAAAGGTGTGATCGATCGATCGATTCGATCGATCCATTATTTTTTCATTCCTCTTTCTTTTAACTTTATATAGACTGTCGGTTCGTCCGACGTGGCAAGCGCCCATTGGCTGTTCAAAGGACGCCCGAAAGGAAAGAGGAAGCACAAAAGGAGGGTTTGATTTTTTAGGGTTGAGACAGGCAGCTAGGGTTTGGTGGTTTGTTGTGTCCGCAGCCGATTCGACTCGAGTCTTCTCTTCTCCCCGCCGGCAGTAGCGAATATGAGTGGCAAGCAGCCCGCGGCGAAGAGCTCCTTCAAGCAGGAGCATGATCTCGGTGAGAGGAAATTTGCCCCAAAAACGGTTTTTTGGGTGTGCTTGATTGTGGCTTTTGTTTCGATTGCGCAGATCCTTTTGATTGATTTGTCGCTTACTGTTTCATAGCATGGAATTCGTTCTCACCCTTTTTGTTTTGCTCTCTCGCTCGCAGAGAAGAGAAAGGCCGAGGCTGCTAGGATTAGGGAGAAGTACCCAGAGAGAATTCCGGTAAATAACTGTCCTATAAAGGATGGATTTTTCGTTTGATCTTTCTGGCTGGATGTTCTAAAGTTCGCTCGTTCTTTTCTCCAGGTGATTGTTGAGAAGGCCGAGAGGAGTGACATCCCAAACATTGACAAGAAAAAGTGAGTTTTTATCCTTGTTTGTTTTGTCCCTTTTCTCGTTCGCGAGCTGACCGAAAGGTGCAGGTATCTAGTTCCAGCCGACTTGACGGTTGGGCAGTTTGTCTACGTGATCCGCAAGCGGATTAAGCTCAGCGCCGAGAAGGCGATCTTCATCTTTGTAAATAACGTTCTCCCTCCCACTGGTACGTTTCTTGCCCGCGACCCCTTACATCTTCCAGGCGTTGTCCTGAAGCTAAAGACTTGGTTCTTTTTTCCATTTTTTCTTTCCTGTGCAGCCGGAATCATGTCTGCAATCTACGACGAGCACAAAGACGAGGACGGTTTTCTGTACGTTACATACAGTGGCGAGAACACGTTCGGCCTCTCGCTATGAAGGAAGAATTCCCGAAAAAAAAAAAAGGAAAGAGAAGATGATCCCCATCCACAACAGCCGGCAATCACACACTTCGCGCCACCACACCTCCTTTCACGTCTAAGAAGAAGCTGTACATTTGCTAAAAGGGTCACTATTGCTGCTGTTTAGAACAGGGTCAGTCTGTCCAGGTCTTGATCTCCTTTTCTTTCTGTTTAGGTGGGCTTTTCATGTACATATAGTTTGGAACTTGAAAACTCTTCTCTTTTTGAGTTCCAGCCAGGTCACTGCCACTCTGGCGGGGGATATGCTCCGACGTGGCGTGCCCTAACCTGAGTATGGAATATTTCTAAAATTATCTCCTTGGGAAGTTTCATACATATTGGATGATCCAATTGTGTTATACAGTTTTGACAGGGGAAACTCACACACACACACACACACACCCACACATCAATCACATGTTGCTGTTAGAACTGTTGCACGAATCACAAGGCGGACCTGGGAAAAAGCATGCATTCTCCACCCTCTTTTTTTTCCTCTTGTCACTCACAAGGAGAGTGGTGCTTTTGTGCTTATATAAAGCTTTTCAGTGGCTACACTTGCTTAGCTAGGAACCCACTTTACTAAATCTCCTCTACAGTGCAATAAGTTTTTAAGATGGTAGTTTTAAGGGCTAATCTGATTTTTTTCTAAAAGCATTTTCTTTTCTCTACTCCTTCCTGGGAGAAAAAAAAGGGGGTCGAGGGGGGAGAAATGCCTTGTCATGCAAGGGAGCATATACCTTCTTGCATTTCCAAGGATATGCTGGGCCTGCTGTGCCCCCCTACCCCATTGTCTTTGCAATTTGAGGGCTCTCACTCACAGCCGGTTTTGGTGGTGTAGTTCTCTCTCTCTTCTTTTTTTTTCCTGGTTTGCCTGCTGGTTTGCCTGTTGCTTTGTGTGGGAGGAGCAGTGACTAAGTGAGCAGCTACCTAGCAGGAGCAAAAAAAAAAAAAGAAAGAGTCAAGAGGAGAAGAAAAGTGAGAGGAAAAATAACAGGAGGGCAGCAAAGATGAGAATAAGGAAGCACCTGTCCGCTGTTCATCTTCCTGCAGTTGCCAATCCCATCTTGAGGTCGAAAATCACTGCAGCGGCAAAGCCAGCAGCAGCAGCAGCGCCGGTGGTCACTGCAGCTCTAGCTCCTGGTAACTTTCCTGGATGCAAAGATGAGAAAGAAGAAGAAGAACAAGGAGAGAAATCCTTGCCTGGAAATCGAGGAGTGGTCCCGGCGAGAGCTCCAGCGCTTGTAGGGCTTGTAGCAGTCGAGGAGGAAGTCGGGGATAAGGTAGCAGCAGCAGCAGCGGTAGCAGCGGTGGAAGGAAAAGGCCGGGGCTTGGTTGCCGAGGTTTGTAGCAGCATTCGGACGAGCAGCAAGAACCAAGACGAGGCCGCCGCTATGGTGCTGCTGCAGTCGAGCTCGTTGCAGCAGTTCCCGGATCTCTCGTTGCCCATGACTCCGGCGGTCTCGCTCCCCACCAGGCCAAAGAGGACAAAGCCCCGGAGCTGCAGTGCGGCTAGTCCCAGCTTTGTTTGTCCTCCGCCGCCTCCTCCTCCACCTCGTCCGGGCCTCGAGCAGCAGCAACTCCAACTCGCCCCAGAGATGGCTTGCATGCAGCAGCAGCAACAGCAGCTCCTCCGAGATCACGGCGGCGGCGAGCTCGACGATGACGACTCAAGTCCCAAGTCAGTGAAGGTAACTTGTAGAGAAAAATTCTTTCCTTCTCCTGTGTCTGTGCCTCATGTCCCTGGAATGCCCCCGCGCTGATCCAATTCCTGGTATACTTTCTTTCCTGAGTTTGCTGCTGCTCTAAGTTGCTTCTCCACCTAATTGTCGCCTGGAGCTCCACCAAACCATTCAACCCAATTCCTTCTTTCCCAAGCGAGCCATTGTTTGCTGACACCAATTCTTTTCTCTTTGCCTTTTCTCCATTTCTGTGGCCTGCAGGTAACTTCGGATCTTATCGACGTTTCATCGCCTCCGAGGTACGTTGTAACTTCTTCAGGTTCTTTTCGTTGCCGAGCTGATGGTCGCAATTGTAATTGCAGGGAAGCACCACCACTGCAGCAGGAAGCAGCAGCAGCAGCAGCGGTAGCAGGAGATACCGACACCGGTGAGTGGAAACGACTTTGCCTTTAGTTTTTGTCGATCGATATCCTGCTGAATTCTTCTTTTCTTTCACAGTGGTGGTTAGTGGAGCACTAATAGAGCAGAGAAGAAGTACCAGGAGGCCGAGGAGTAGAAGCGCTAGCTTGAGGAACCTACAAGAGCTGGAGGACGACGGAGAGGCGAACGAAGGTAGCCAGTGCCGGCGAATGGACGGCAAAGGATGGAGGTGCCACCGCACGACTCAGCCCGACTACTCGCTCTGCGACTATCACCTGGACAAATTCCGAGAAACCAATCAGCGAAAGCTTAGGAACGCAGCGACAGCTCAGGAAGCAACAAGGAGACGCAGCCGAGTGAAGAGGAAACCCGTGAAAGCTCGATCACTCATGTCGATCTGAGAGTCGAGAGAGTCATGACAAGGCATGACTTGGAAGTCACTCAAACAAAAAGCCTGAGGGAAAACAAGCACTCAAGCGGAAAGAGGAGCTTGGAGCAGTTTCACAGTACCCGGTTTTTCAGTGCTGGTTGCTCCTCCTCCGCTTCCGACACCTCATCTCCGCCTTGAGAGGCGTGCCTTTCCTCCTCTTGCTTGGTGCTGGATTCTGCATGTCGTTAGGATTGCAAGCGGACGCTACCATGGGCCTCCGTCTCAGCGCAGCTGTTCTGCATTCCCTCCTCAGGAACGTGCTCCATAAAATAAACCTCCCGCCAGCTTCTATGAAATAGGCGTTCTTTCGCATAGCTCTTGCAACTTGCACCGAAAGTGGGACGTCCTCGGGCTCAAAGAGTTTCAATAGCCCCTGCTGTAACACCTTCCTTCCTGCCTCACGGACTGTTAAGCCCGTATCTCCAGCTTCAGAGACCATTGTATAAAGCGCATGTGCAAGCGAGCTGGAGGTGGAGCTGTCTACAAAAAGCAAAGGACGGGTTTTGAGTTTGTTGAAGCATAGCGAGCCCGAAGCAACCAAAAGTACCTTCTATGGTGGCGCTTGCATCCCGACTTTCTCCATTCCTGGAAAAGATGGAGCACACAAGTTAAGTTTGGTAGTCTGCACTGATTTCGACCCCGGGTCCGTACCTCCTTCGATCCTCGGCCTCCGCAATTTTATCCTGCAGCGGATAAGCGGAGCGTAAGGATTCGTTTGATCCTCGAGATTCGAAAGTACTTACGAGTAGACTTGCCTCGGTGGCGATTTGAGCCATTGGAAAACTTCGATTGCGTTGCTCTTCAAGTTCGAGAGGGCGTATGAGAAGGCGGGGGCTCCTACGTCTGTTGTCGCTTGACGAGGACCTTTCTACGCAGTGTTCAAGCTTACTGGACTTCTCGTCTGCCGGATCTTTATTCCGGCCCTCGTCCGAGTTCTTTGTCACAACACATTCATCTTTCCGCTGCCTACTATTCCCTCGCTCTTTGACGAGCGGACAAATTTGCATCTCGGGCCCATCACCTCCTTCCACTACCTGCAAAAGTTCGAAACAACCCTGTTGTGAGAAACCAAGAAAAAGTGTACCAGGAAACAGCTCTACACCTTACCTCTGCTTCTTTTTGCCTCAGCAGCGACGATAGCAGAGAGCCCATTACCACAATTGCCCGTTCTGAGCAAAGAGAATGAACGAGAACGACTAGTCTGATAAGATAATCAGCAGCATTTGGGCATATAACTGTAAAGCTAATGTATATGTCAATTCTTCTTGGCGCGCTCAAGGCAATAACCGTACTGGTACGACAGAAGAACCACTTCAAACCTTCGTCACGCGTTTGCGCACCGAATACGTAGTCACGCCATCGTGGAAGCCCGTCTCCAGTTTTTGAAGCTTCACGAGTATCAGGAGGCATGCCTTCTGGATTTGCGGTTCTGCATAAGTTAAACCCACGATCATCCAAATGAGAAGTGACGAGGCTTAAGCTTACCGTACGCCAGAGACAACAGATCATCTGGTTTCAGCGCTTTTACGTCATCTGTGGGCTTCCCACATAGGCTGTCAGTCTTTAGGGAGAACAGATTGTTCAGCTTAGAAACAAACTCATTGAGTAGCTGAACAGAAAAGACCACTTCAAGATAATGCCAGCTGAAAACTAATAGCACATTACCTCTATGGAGACCTGCCACTTGAGCCACGATGGCGCAGCGTTAAATTCTTCAGAGGCCACAGGCTCCAGAAGGCCAGTACTCGACCCTGTACAAAAGATTAGAGAGGAAAAAATGTTGTTACGGAGAAACTAACGTACCGTTACAGTTAAGCGGCTGCTTATCGACAAGATCATCGGCAGAGCCGAGCTCAAGCTCTCGTAGGCTCCTTCAAAACAAAAGATATAAAATTGATCTCATTCGCAATGAACAGTAAAAAGTACCTAGAAGAACTGTTTCGAGAGACTTGTTCTTTAGATGGTTCTGTTACTAAGTGGTGTACAGCCGAATCCGTGTCAACAATGTGAGCAGTATCTGCATCATGAACTGTATCAATGGTAGAAACAAGAATCAAATACTTGACGATATACCTGCGTCAGGGACGGAGAGAGCAGCAAGACTGGACGCTGACAAACCGAGATCCTTCAAGCTAAGGGACTCCAGATACCTGTACTCTAGTTAAGATCAACTTACAAAGAAGAGCCAGTCCTATTTTTTTTTGGTTTGGATACGAAGAACCAGTGTGATCACGCCTTTTGTCAAGCGTGGCAGACACTCCTTCTCTTTGGACCTCTAGATAAGCCTCCTTGATATCTTGCCTGGCTTTGGCTTCGTAGCTTTCTTCCGCAAGAGAGAAGTCATCACCTTGAACAGTTACTTCTGTGACAGCCTGAGAAAAATTCAAGGCAACAAGTTGAAAACTCGTAGAAGACTAGGAAAATCTAAGCAATCGAGCAGCTCCTTCTGTCTATCAAAGCATACTCACAAGGAATAAAAAAACACCACAAGAACTCAAGAAGGCAAAAGAGAAAGCATACCTCTTGCGATTGCTTGTAGCCATGCCGTTCAAGCTCCATCTCTAGCAGGCGATTGGTGTCCTCGTTTTTCTTGTACACCTCGTTGCAATGGCCGAGTAGCTCGTGGAAAGAAATAGTGCCCATTGTCACTGCCTTGAGAGTTTCTAGTCGAGCAGTCACCGATAGAACCCTGTCGTTGAGCTGATCCACAAACCTAGCAGCGGCTCCTGGACGAAGAAGAACCTAGAGAAAGCGTCCAGGAGAGATTGCTTACCAGATTCTTCCGGCGCTGTTACTCGGCCAATGCTGGTGTGCAGGCTTGTGCATTGCGTCTCCAGACGCGAGCAAAATCCCCGGAGCTCCGCGCAGAAAAACGAGACGAGGCGCGGGCAGTCATCCATGGCTGGATCGCGAGAAATATTTTAAATCAAAACCCTAACCCTCTAAAATGTTAAACCTAATATTCCAAAACTACTTGAGTTTTAGTAAAACCTAAAGTTTAAAACTTTACATTTTAAATAAAATTCTGTGAGAAATTTTTTTCCATTAAATTACAGTTTGTTAAAAAAAATATTAATCTAACATTTGCTTCAAAACTTTTAAAACCATTAAATAAATCTATGGCACTAATATTATTAATGCTAAATAATATATTATTACATTAAAAATATTCATTAAAATACATTTTACATTTCAATCAATCATGCTAGTTCCACCAAAACCCTTTGGCATAAACTTTAATGTATGTTTTTTTACTCTATGGGAGAATATAAAATTTTAACATATATGTATATATTTAATAGTTATTAAAGATTAATTTATAATAAAGTTAAAGTGTTTTTGTTGAACAACTTTAATATAATAAATATATTTTATTATGCTTCAACATTCTTTTACAATCATATTTAATAATAATCATTACGACTAAAATCTATAATAGTCTAAAATACATTTGTCTAAAATTTATATTATTTTATTACTATTATAATTTTAGTTAATTAATTTATATTATATTTTTTTTATTAGAGTTTGAAAGTGATGTCTACTATCATATGTATTAAAAATGATCACTATTAACTTAAATAATAGGAATTTCTTAGGTTATAAAAATAATAAATTTAATTCAAAAAAATAGACATGATTCAAATTTAGGAAAATAATGTATAAACTGCAATTTTCTAAAAGTTTATTTGAAAAATATTATATAGTATTTTCCATCAGAGTTTGAAAGTGATGTTATGAAGTTCTATGCGCTCATAATGTTTAACATCATATGCATTAAAAATAATCACTAGTAACTTAAATAATATGAATTTTTGGATTGTAAAAATAATAAATTTAATTCAAACAAATATACATAATTCAAATTTAAAAAAATATATATATAAACTACATAATAAATATTTAATTGAACAGTTATATGTTATTTAACTTACAAATTTGATATTGTCAATAAGTCACAAATCTTTAATGTATGATCTCCATGGAAAGCAGATCTTTTAAGCTGGCACTTCAAAGAATTACCAAATTCATTCTATTTGAGTTCTAATATGCACATAAAATAATCTTCCTTTATCTTTTCATCATCATCACGGTTCTTCTCCCATCAGGTCTGCAATTCCATCATCCATTAATTCCAAATGCAATCAAGCATCTAGAAGAACACTTACGGAAGTTCGATAAGGTATGCTTCTCAGCTTGGTGGCCGCAACCGATGGATCCAACGCCAGCCCAGCGGCAGTTGATCCTGTTAATCCTGCTTGCCTCTGGTAGAAGCTCGCAGCCGCAGCAGCAACATTCTGGATGTCTGTCCATGCGCCAGCGCCTTGAGCTCCCAGCAATCCCGCCATGCCAAATGCTCCAGCGGCAGCCTACGCGTTCATCACAAGTTTAGCATAGGAAAAGTAAGAAAAAGACACTAGAACTGCTTAACAAAGTACCTGTTGCTGGAGAAGCAGAAGCTGCAAAGCCGGGTCAAGCTGGCCCATGCTAAACGGCAGTCCTCCTGTGGCCACGATCATTTCACTGCAACAGAGACAGAGAGAGTTCCAAAGAATACAACTTCGAAGAAGAAACACTTAAAAAAGTTTGAAACTTACCTCTTGGTGGCTCGGAAAAGCTCGATGTAGCGGGAGCCAATGTTGTTGCGGTGGCGTTCCATGGCCCGCTGTGCCTCCTTGGAAGAGATAAACTCCACAAACGCCTCCCCCGTCGGACGGTCTGTAGCTCCAATCACGACGTAGATTCCATTTGGGACGATCCTGTAGCCTTGGAAAAACTCCGTAATCTCTCTGGGTCCGGAATTGTATGGAAGACCCCGCATCTTAATGCACACGTCCTCCGAAATGTCTCCTATAGCTCCAGGCCCCGGCGATTGTACTGCTCCTAAGTTTAAAGCCCCTACTCCTTGCATTCCATATCCTCCCAACATACCAGGAATCTAAGACCACAGAAAAATTAGTTTTTTCTTTCAGAAAAACAAGACTCAACTTACTTGGCCGAGAGATCCAACTGGTGACATGTTACCAACACCAGCGAACCACAGCTTTTGTTGAACTGAAGTCATCATCTCCCCTTTTGTACTTTTGAAAAGCTCCACATAACGCTGAAATGGACACGAAGGCGTCAAAAGGCGATAAGGAAAAACGTAAAACGATAACCGGAAAACAAACTTACCGAGCCCATCGGCTCTCTGTGGAGCTGCATCGCTCGAGCGGCTGTTTCTTCGTTAATAAACTCCACAAATGCCTGTAGTGGCCAGATTTGAAGAGAAAAAACTGAGAGCCATTAAACGGTAGGTCCAAAAAGGCTCACTTCACCAGTTGGTCGGCCATCAGCATGTGTACACAGGAAAATCCCATCCGGAGCAACTTGCATTCCCTTAAAGAAGGCCATGATATCGGCCGATGTGCAGCTGAAACCAGCAAGAATAAACGTGAGGACAAGCAGGGAGAATTGTTACTGCTCAACTCACCTGTAAGGCATTCCTCTCATGCGCACAACCCCCGTGAAACGCATGTCGGGATTACCAGCCATGCCAGGAATCCCAGTCCCTTGCAAGCCTGCCGCTCCATAGGCGCCGGAACTCCCTCGGCCGGCCATTCTCATAGCTCCCTGTTGAAACAAACATTAGCTAAGAATTCGCCATTTCGAGAGCAAAAAACCTGCATGTCTGCTGGATGGCCCTTGAAAACTTCTATGTAGCGGCTTCCAATGTGTTGCCTGCGTCAAAGATCTTATTTGATATCGGGGTGACACAAATCACAAACCTGTTTCTTTCGAGGGATTTATTAGCCAGCTCAGCGGTTGCAAACTGGACATAAGCTTGGCCAGTGGACCTCCCTGAGAAACCAAAACTTAGCAAACAAACAAAGCAAGCTTGGGTGTTTGTTACCTTGAAAGTTGACACAGATAACGATTCCATCAGGCCCGAGGTCCAGACCCCGAAAAAACTCTTTAATATCAACCTCCGTGGCACTGAAAGGAAGTCCCCGGAGTCGAACAACATTGCTTCGCTTCCTGACACACGCAAGTTTCACGGGTGAGGCCTCAGAGTGTTTGTTTACCGGAGAAAGTAAAAACAAAGTTAAAAATCTCCTCCATTTCCCGGTTCCACGATCATAAGTTCTTTGAGCAGAAAGAGCAAGCAAAGAGCTCAGTAGTAGCAGCAGCGCAAGTAGCAGTGGAGCAATCAACACAAGTAGCACTCACAATTCATCATCGAGAGCACTTCCTCCCACCAGCCCTCCTAATCCCGCCATGGTCCAAATCCAAACCAATGTGCTGCAGTTAAATGCATGTCAAGAGAGAGGCAGCAGCATCACCCAGGAATTCTTCTTTCGGGAGCCCAGGCCCATAGTTCTTCCTTAACTTCTTACGTAAAGAACGAAAGAGAGAAAATAAAATAAAATAAAGGAGCGAGAGAGACAAAAAGAAAGAGATGGGAAAAACAATCGAAAGAAAGAAATATGCCAGGAAAAAAATTCAAGCAATCTCAAAGTAACCTTCAATCGATCGATCGCCCGCGCTCGTCGCCCAGGGCGCACAGCGAGAGAGAAATCCCTGGAGCAGCAGCAATGAGAAAACGCGGGGATGGAA